GGCCCAAGCCCTGGGCCGAAGGTACAGTGATCCATTCTAGCAAAGTTGAACAGACACTGAACCAGCTTTCCAGCAGCATACTTATAGGTAAAACATCAAAACATTGAACTAAAACAATCCACTAACAAGCAATTTTCCCACCAGCAGATGGCCTCAAGATTTGGCCGCAATTCGCACGCTTCTCCTTAACACCTGCAGCTTGCTGCTCTGACCTTCACCGAGCGTCTTATCAGTCACATTCTTTGGCTGTGAGAACAAGCGTTTCTCTCTAGCTACAGACTGTGGCTGAGAAAACTGAGAAATCTGAAATCCCACACCTGCATCTGTATTCCCATTCCCATCATGCCCACTTGCACTCTCAGTCCCATCATGCTGTTGCTGAACCACAACACCAAGATGTTGGGGTTCAGCCTGTGTGTGAACTTGAACCTGACTCTCTCATTGTATTTCCTGATGCCCATGTAGATGTCAATGTGAATTCTGAGGCCAATTTAGATGATGATGGTTTGAGTAGTGAAAATCCTACAGCCTTGGAAAGCGAAAGTCAAGATTCCCATGAGAACATGCATTCCGAGCCGAGCGGAGACGTTTCACTCCCTTTTCCTCCCAGTCTTAGTTCTCCAGAGAATCTGACACCTGGTCTGCCTAATGAGGATAGGCGGGGGCAGATTTGGCAGAGTCGGGGAGAAGCACAATGTTTACGCAGGTCAGCCAGATTGAAAGAAATCCAAACAAAATCTTCAGGCATGTCTCGCAATAGATTTCTTGGCCTTAAATATGACTGTTCTGAATACAGCTTCAGACCAGGCATCCAGGTGTTTTGGACTTCAACTCCCACCATTCCTAACAGCTTACCGGAAGGCTGTTAGGAATGGTGGGAGTTGAAGTCCAAAACACCTGGAGGGAGTGCCAAAGTTGGCCCATGCCTGTACTATAAGCTTAAACTGGTTTCCAGTAGCAGGATGTGTATTTCTCATGCTTTCTCTCTCTCTCTTCTTTTAGTTTGGCTTTAAGAAATGGAAGAGCCACGTGACGGAGCGGCCCTGGGAAGACCGCTCCGAGATTGTGAAGGAGCTCTACTCCGACCTCAACGTCGTCCGGAGCCCTTCAGGTACGGCCGGACTCAGGTAGGAAGTTTTCTGTCCAGCTTGATCAGTGGCTGGACTGGTCCAAAGAGCAGCCTTTTTGAGCCGTGTTGCATTAAATAAGCCATTCATTGCAAGCTTCTGGTTTAACTTAACTATATACCTGCCAATGACAGTGGGCCAGGTGGGATTCATATGGGAGAGCCCAACAATAATAATTACCCTATATACTTGAGTATAAGAACCCCCACGACCAACAGAAAATACTTAAGGCCATCCAATCCAACTCCCTTCACCAGGGCAAGAAAACGTAATCAAAGCCCTCTTGACAAAGAGCCATCCAGTCATCAATATATAGATAGATAGATATGATTCGCACACAAATATAGTATCATAGATTTGAAACGGACCCCTTATTTAATTATTTTGTCAGGAGCAGACCAAACAGTTGCATTGCATTTTTTAACAAACAAAACACGAAGGTCCATGGTGCTTGAATAAAGGACCTTCCTTCTCTCCCTCCCTTCCCTTCTTTCCTCCCTTTCCTTTCTTTCCTTTTCTTCTTTCCTTCTCCTTCCTTTCCTTCTTTCCCTCCTTCCCTTCCTTCCTGTCCCTCCTTTTTTCATTTCCTTCTTTTCCTTCCTCCCTCCCTTCCCTCCTTCTTTCCCTTTCTTCACTTCCTTCTCTTTCTTTTCCTTCCTCCCTTTCCTCCTTCTTTCCCTTTCTTCACTTCCTTCTCCTTCATTTCCTTCCCTCCCTCCTTTCTTCATCCCCCTCCTTTCTTTCCCTCCTCCTTCCTTCCTTCCTTCCTTCCTTCCTGTCTCTCCTTTTTTCTTTTCCTTCCTTCCCTTCTTTCCCTCCCTCCCTTCTTTTTTCCTTCCTTCCTTCCTGTCCCTTCCTTCTTCCTTTCCTTCTTTCTATGTAAGATATAAATACAATATTAAATGGAAGGGACAGTCAAGAAGTAACGAGAGAAGGAGGGAAAGAGGGAAGGAAGGAAGGAGAGGAGGAGGGAGGGAAAGAAGGAAAGAAGGAAAGATAGAGAAGCAAGGAAGGAGAGAAGGAAATAAAAAGTGAAAGGAAAAAGAGGGAAGGAAGGAGAGAAGGAACAAAAGATAGGGAAGAAAGGAAGGAGAGAAGCAGGGAAGGAAAGAAGGAAAGAAAGAGTAGAGAAGCAAGGAAGGAGAGAAGGAAATAAAGTGAAAGGAAAAAGAGAGGGAAGGAAGGAGAGAAGGAACGAAAGATAGGGAAGGAAGGAAGGAAGTAACCAAAGAGCAAAGAAAGGGAGGAAAGAAACAGGTAAAGATGGAAGAAAGATGAGAGATAGGAAAAGAAAAATAGGAAAGAGGGAAGGGAGGAGAGAAAGAGGGAGGGAAGGTTGGCCACAGCAACATGTGGTGGGTACAGCTAGTACCTTATATGTCTGTCTCTGGAGAGTGTTGGAAGCCTCCCCTGACCACCCATGTGCTTGCGATCTACCTAGGCTCCATGCTGACATTTGGGAACCTGCTCTACTTGCTGTTCTTTGGATGGTGGCTGGCCTTGCTCTACCTCCTGGTCTCCCTCTTGATGTTCCTGACGGTGCTGGGCGCTCCATACGGTGAGTGACAAGTTTTGGGACTGCCATAAATTCTTTTAAAACTTTTAAAAGCATTAAAAATGTTCTTTAATTTCATTCACAATGAGACACAGTATTAGGCACTTTACAGAGAAAGAAGGGAGACTCACAGACTCGAGCTACACAGGGTACACAAACAAAGGGGACATTACATCTCACTCAGCATTCACACACATACACACATTCGCTCATCATCATGCATACATTGCCATCCATTCTTCCTTCTCCTGGAAATGAGACGTCGAAATAGTCCAGATTGTGTTCCCAGCAAATCTGCCATTCTGAGAATATACCGTCTTCCTCCATCGTTTGGAGATCGGCAGGTGGACCAGACTCCTCCAGTCTGCCACAAGTTTGGAAGAGTAAAGTGTTTCTTATATAGCAGTATTTCTTGCTGATGTTCCAACTGACTCTGTAAATGACTGAAACTAATGATTAACTCTTGGTGTTGCAACCCAGAGTAGGAAACTGGACCCTCAGACAACAATCCACCACGCTTGGCTTCAGGAAAACAATCCTTTTTTATTGATGAAAGATGAGTACAAAATAGAGGAAAAAATGCAAAGGTAAAAAGCCACAGTAAAAATCAGCAGCAAGAAATGTCCATAAACAAGATCATGAAACCCACAGCTAAACTGCTGAATCCTGGAACCTGTTAGCAAATCATTAACCGTACTTAGGGCAACTAGAAAACCTCCGAGGAACAAGGCTACTTGGATCAGGAGACCTGCAAACGCTGGCACATAAATCTGGAACGATGCCTGGTCTGAAGCTGTATTCAGGGCAATCATATTTAAGGCCAAGAAATCTATTGTGAGACACGCCTGAAGGTTTTGTTTGGATTTCCTTCAATCTGGCTGACCTGCGTAAACATTGGCTTCTCCTCGACTCTGCCAAATCTGCCCTCGCCTATCCTCATTAGGCAGGCCAGGTGCCTGATTCTCTGGAGAGCTAAAACTGGGAGGAAAGGGGAGTGAACCGTCTCCGCTTGGCCTGGAATGTATGTTCTCATGGGAATCTTGATTTTCGCTTTCCAAGGCTGTAGGATTTTCACTACTCAAACCATCATCATTTAAACTGGCCTCAGAATTCACATGGGCATCAGGAAATACATGGGCATCAGGAAATACAATCAGAGAGTCAGGTTCAAGTTCACACAGGTGGAACTTGTCAGGTTCCCAACACTTGGTGGAAAACAACATGTTTACATTACCAGATACAATTGCATGTTTTAGCTGCCTGTCAATCATTTACACCTTTCAGAATATGCTGATTCCATCAACTCCCGATAGATCTTGGATTTTCTTCCTAAAATTGGTTTTCCTTAAGAAGCCTTGTTAGACTTCCTTAAATGATGCTGGGTTTACTTCTTAATGTAAGGAGCCACTGTCTGGTCATGTAAGGGTAATGGGGAAAAATTGGCCATAGAAAATAGTGTCTTGTTATCTTTCTATGGTCAACATTTCCCCATTACTTTTTGGGTTTTACGGAAAATCAGTGGTCAACCCGGCTAGGCTTTAGCAGAGCTGGTTAAACCACCAACTGTAGTAAATTTTATCAGTCAAAAGGCTGCCAGTTCGAAGACCGGGTCACGGTGAGCTCCTGGCCTTTAGCCCAGCTTTTGCCTATCTAGCGGTTTCCTCCGCTTACTTAACTTCAAGGAAGTGACATAGTGTGCAGAAGTCATTGATACTATGTATGTGTTTAACTGTTAGAGTATATATTTGTGTTTGTAACAGTAGCTAAAACTAGAGTTATCTGGTTTGAATCCACAGTGAGCGTTGCCAAGGAGACCGGGCAGGCTAGCTCAGGAGAGTGAGAAGTGGGCGGAGCCAAGCAGGAAAAGTTATGTGCGTCTTTGGAAAAGGGGCAGTGAGTGTGGAGGCTTGAAAAAGCCTGGGAGAGAGGTGTGTGTGAGCAGCTGGAGGTTTTTCAGTCTAGAAGGGCTGAAGAGAGAAACCTGGCCAGTTTCTTTAGTCAAGGAAGACTAAAGGAAGCTTGTTAAGATCCCTAGTCAAGGAAGGACTAGAGATCAGAGATTTGATCAAGGAAAGATCAAATTGGAAGGCTATTCATAGTAGGAAACATTGTTCACTAAAGAGCTTCACCTCAGTAAAAGTTAGCCACGAGCTGTGTTATTTGGAAGAGTGGACTGTATTACAAACCAAGTGATATTCAAAGTTCTATAAGTTATTTAACAGCCTGCAACCATACGCTTTGTACACAATAAACTTGTTATCTTTTGTTGAAGACCGTCTCATCTCAATTAATCTGCGTCTGTAAAGCCAGATCTCATCGGTGGTACCTCAAATACCTCACGTTGGTGGCAGTTACCTTAATTTACAAGTAATAATTGGCCTCCTCTATAATATATTCTTATACACAATTGAGGCCTGAGATTAATTCCCTCCATAATCATCCACACCTGTACAATTGGTTTGCGCAAACTGTACACATAGGCTATGCTTCCAGAATATTAGCAATGGCATTTTGTCAAGCACAATCGTTCCGTGTGAACATTTCCTCGTTCTGAGATTGTATGCATCCTAGCCATTGAGGAAAGAAAAGGAAGGCTTTAAACCTTTTATTCAGACAGGCTTTTAAAGATGGAGGGGTTTAAGATCTAGTCATGGACTGTTTTGATGGATTTTAACAGAATTTATTTTAGTACTGTTTGCATTTAATTCTATTACAATGTTTGCATTTTTGTATGTTTTGAATATGTGTTGCCCCTTAACTTGTTTTTCATTGGGATTGTGTTTCTCTCTTTCTCTTCGCCCCCGAAACCTGAACGCTGATGGATATCCAGGAAAGCTTTGTTGGAAACTTGCAGGCTATTTCCTTTGGCCTTTTGGGAAAGTGATTCAGAAGGTAAGCAGGAGCATAAAACAAGCTGGGTAATCAAACGCATTTGATGATTCGACAAAGTCGTTTTTCATGGGTGCATCTTTTGTTCCTCTGCAGTATCTGCTAAAGGAGATCTTAAGTTGTGAACAGGTAATACTATATGGCTCTATTACCACCAAATAGATGGTTTATGGAGACACATATTGAACCTAATACAGAATGGGGGACGATGATGCCTGGCTCGAGAGCAGTACGTGTGAAAAAGATCTTGGAGTCCTCGTGGACAACAAGTTAAACATGAGCCAACAATGTGATGTGGCGGCAAAAAAGCCAATGGGATTTTGGCCTGCATCAATAGGAGCCTAGTGTCTAGATCTAGGGAAGTCATGCTCCCCATGCTCTATTCCGCTTTGGTTAGACCACACCTGGAATATTGTGTCCAATTCTGGGCACCACAATTCAAGAGAGAGATTGACAAGCTGGAATGTGTCCAGAGGAGGGCGACTCAAATGATCAAGGGTCTGGAGAACAAGCCCTATGAGGAGCGGCTTAAGGAGCTGGGCATGTTTAGCCTGAAGAAGAGAAGGCTGAGAGGAGATATGATAGCCATGTATAAATATGTGAGAGGAAGCCACAGGGAGGAGGGAGCAAGCTTGTTTTCTGCTTCCTTGGAGACTAGGACACGGAATAATGGCTTCAAACTACAAGAGAGGAGATTCCATCTGAACATGAGGAAGAACTTCCCGACTGGGAGAGCTGTCCCTGGAGTGTGGTGGAGGCTTTTAAACAGAGGCCATCTGTCAGAGGTGCTTTGAATGTGATTTTCCTGCTTCTTGGCAGAATGGGGTTGGACTGGATCACCCATTAGCAACAAGTGGGCGCTAGAAACAATATCATACGAAAGCTGACTGGCACAACCTGGGGATCACAACCAGACACAGTGAAGACATCTGCCCTTACGCTGTGCTACTCGGCTGCTGAATATGCATGCCCAGTGTGGAACACATCTCACCACACTAAAACAGTGGTTGTGGCTCTTAATGAGACATGCCGCATTATCACGGGGTGTCTGCGCCCTACACCACTGGAAAAATTACACTGCTTTAAGCCAGGGGTCCTCAAACTAAGGCCCGGGGGCCGGATACGGCCCTCCAAGGTCATTTACCCGGCCCTCACTCAGGGTCAACCTAAGTCTGAAATGACTTGAAAACACACAACAACAATCCTATCTCATCAGCCAAAAGCAGGCCCACACTTCCCATTGAAATACTAATAAGTTTATATTTGTTAAAATTGTTCTTCCATTTAATTATTGTATTGCTTTTAAGTGTTATTTGCACTACAAATAAGATATGTGCAGTGTTGTTGTTGTTATGGCAGACTGTTGGTGCCATGCATCTTTGCAAATAATAATGTATGTCTTAGTAAATATCTCTAGATTCACAAATATCACCTGTGTATCATCTTGTAAGGATGTATTTCCAAACATGACTTCAATCTCTTTGTCCCAACCTTCTCCCTTGACTCCAGCTGGATTTGTGTGTCTATATTTTGAGCCTACTTAACGCATACTTTCCACTTGTTCTTCTCCGTTTCATATTTTAACAACAAATTTCAATGTATTTGCAATCAGATAATTGTAATTCCTCTACAATTCCTCTTCCTGTCTTCTTGCTCCCCTCTTTTCCAGACGAGGTCTTACAACCACAACTGCAATGTGAAGTTCTGCAAGTACGACGTCATTCCCGAAGGCAAGGAGGCCAACCCGCTCCTGACACGGCAGGAGGAACCGGTGAAGCCAGACCCCGACACTCACTGGGTGAGGGATTTCAGACTATTATTATTATTATATTATTATTATTATTATTATTATTATTATTATTATTATTATTATTATTATTATTATGTTTATTTATACCCCACTTTTTCTGTCCACAAGGAGACCAAAAGCTTAGGGACACAGAAATGCCAGAGGTTACTTACTTTGGCTTGACGCGCTTTCCTCTTGGCACGTTTCTCTCTTTCACCCTCCATTTGTGCCTCTTCAAATTCTGCAGCATTGCTGGTCACAGCTGACCTCCAGCTGGAGCGCTCAAGGGCCAGGGCTTCCCAGTTCTCAGTGTCTATGCCAGAGTTTTTGAGGTTGGTTTTGAGCCCATCTTTAAATCTCTTTTCCTGTCCTCCAACATTCCGTTTTCCGTTCTTGAGTTCGGAGTAGAGCAACTGCTTTGGGAGACGGTGGTCGGGCATCCGGACAACATGGCCGGTCCAGCGGAGTTGATGTTGGAGGACCATCGCTTCAATGCTGGTGGTCTTTGCTTCTTCCAGCATGCTGACATTTGTCCGCTTGTCTTCCCAAGAGCTTTGCAGGATTTTTCGAGGCAGCACTGATGGAATCGTTCCAGGAGTTGCATGTGACGTCTGTAGACAGTCCACGTCTCGCAGGGTTGGGAGGACAATAGCTTTATAAACAAGCCCCTTGGTCTCTATGGATGCCCCGGTCCTCAAACACTCTCTGCTTCATTTGGAAAAAAGCTTCACTCGCAGAGCTCAGGTGATGTTGTATTTCAGTGTCAATGTTGACATCTGTAGACAGTCCACGTTTGGCAGACGTATAGCAGGGTTGGGAGGACAATAGATTTATAAACAAGTACCTTGGTCTCCCTACGGATGTCCCGGTCCTCAAACACTCTCTGCTTCATTCGGAAAAATGCTGCACTCGCAGAGCTCAGGCGGAGTTGTATTTCAGTGTTGATGTTGAGACAGTCCATGTTTTGCAGTTGTATAGCAGGGTTGGGAGGACAATAGGTTTATAAACAAGCACCTTGGTATCCCTACGGATGCCCCAGTCCTCAAACACTCTCTGCTTCATTTGGAAAAATGCTGCACTCACAGAGCTCAAGTGGTGTTGTATTTTGCATGTGACATCTGTAGACAGTCCACATTTTGCAGGCGTATAAGCAGGGTTGGGAGGACAATAGCTTTATAAACAAGCACCTTGGTATCCCTATAGATGTCCCGGTCCTCAAACACTCTCTGCTTCATTCAAAAAATTCTGCGCTTGCAGAGCTCAGCCGGTGTTGTATTTTAGTGTCGATGTTGACTTTGGTGGAGAGGTGGCTGCCAAGGTAGCGGAAATGGTTCAACATTTTCTAATGTTACACCATTTAGCTGTATCTCTGGCATTGGAGAGGGATTGGCTGGTGTCTGCTGGAATAGCACTTTGGTAGAGGCGAGTAACAAATACTATTATTATTATTATTATTATTATTATTATTATTATTATTATTATTATTGGTGTTGTTGTGGTTCCCGTTTCTATATTTCTATACAGTTTTTCTCACCCCTGAGGGGACTCAAAGTGGTTTACAACATAATAAATGGCAAATTCAATGCTTCACATATAAATAAAAATATCACATATCTAAATCAATAACATATAACTGTAGATAAAAACTGTTAAAACTATAAAAGTTCGGTGGGTTGTTGTAGGTTTTTTCGGGCTATATGGCCATGGTCTAGAGGCATTCTCTCCTGATGTTTCGCCTGCATCTATGGCAAGCATCCTCAGAGGTAGCGAGGTCTGTTGGACCTAGGAAAAAGGGTTTATATATCTGTGGAATGACCAGGGTGGGACAAAGGACTCTTGTCTGCTGGAGCTAGGTGTGAATGTTTCAACTGACCACCTTGATTAGCATTTGATTGCCTGGCAGTGCCTGGAGCAATCTTTTGTTGAGAGGTGATTAGATGTCCTTGTTTGTTTCCTCTCTGTTGTTGTGCTGTTCTAATTTTAGAGTTTTTTTAATACTGGTAGCCAGATTTTGTTCATTTTCATGGTTTCCTCCTTTCTGTTGAAATTGTCCACATGCTTGTGGATTTCAATGGCTTCTCTGTGTAGTCTGACATGGTGGTTGTTGGTGTGGTCCAGCATTTCTGTGTTCTCAAATAATATGCTGTGTCCAGGTTGGTTCATCAGGTGCTCTGCTATGGCTGACTTCTCTGGTTGAAGGAGTCTGCAGTGCCTTTCATGTTCCTTGATGCGTGTCTGGGCAATGCTGCTGCGTTTGGTGGTCCCTCTGTAGACTTGTCCACAGCTGCATGGTACATGGTAGACTCCTGCAGAGGTGAGAGGATCCCTCTTGTCCTTTGCTGAACGTAGCATTTGTTGGATTTTCTTGGTGGGTCTGTAGATAGTTTGTATGTTGTGTTTCCTCATCAGCTTCCCTCTGCGGTCAGTGGTTCCCTTGATGTATGGCAAGAACACTTTTCCTCTGGGTGGATCTTCATCTTGACTCTCGTGGCTTCTTCTTGGTCTTGCAGCTCTTCTGATGTCTGAGGTGGAGTCTCCCTTGGCCTGGAGAGCCCAGTTGAGGTGGTTCAGTTCATCTTGGAGGAGGTGGGCTTCGCAGATTCTTTTTGCACGGTCTGCCAAGGCTTTAATGGTGCTTCTTTTTTGACTTGGGTGAGTAGATCCACCCAGAGGAAAAGTGTTCTTGCCATACATCAAGGGAACCACTGACCGCATAGGGAAGCTGATGAGGAAACACAACATACAAACTATCTACAGACCCACCAAGAAAATCCAACAAATGCTACGTTCAGCAAAGGACAAGAGGGATCCTCTCACCTCTGCAGGAGTCTACCGTGTACCATGCAGCTGTGGACAAGTCTACATAGGGACCACCAAACGCAGCAGCATTGCCCAAACACGAATCAAGGAACATGAAAGGCACTGCAGACTACTCCAACCAGAGAAGTCAGCCATAGCAGAGCACCTGATGAACCAACCTGGACACAGCATATTATTTGAGAACACAGAAGTGCTGGACCACTTGCACAACCACCATGTCAGACTACACAGAGAAGCCATTGAAATCCACAAGCATGTGGACAATTTCAACAGAAAGGAAGAAACCATGAAAATGAACAAAATCTGGCTACCAGTATTAAAAAACTCAAAAATTACAGCAGAACAACAACAGAGAGGAAACAAACAGGACATCTAATCACCTCTCAACAAAAGTTTGCTCCAGGCACTGTCAGGCCATTATATGCTAATCAAGGTGGTCAGTTGAGACATTCACACCTAGCTCCAGCAGACAAGAGTCCTTTGTCCCACCCTGGTCATTCCACAGATATATAAACCATTTTCCTAGTTCCAACAGACCTCACTACCTCTGAGGATGCTTGCCATAGATGCAGGCGAAACGTCAGGAGAGAATGCCTCTAGACCATAGCCATATAGCCCGAAAGAAACCTACAACAAATCAGTGATTCCGGCCATGAAAGCCTTCAACAATACATTATTATTATTGATCATGGGGAGTCTGTGTGCCAAATTTGGTCCAGCTCCGTTGTTGGGAGTGCTGGAAAATGGCCATACAGTCCAAAAAACTCACAGCAACCCCGTGATTCCAGCCATGAAAGTCTTTGACAACACATCCTTGATGCAGTTTAGAGAGTTAAGGACTAGAAACATAGAATGACGTCAGGATCTGACGGATGCTTCCTTCCTTTCCAGCGCCGCCCCAGCACTGTGGTCTGGCTCCTCTCGGGCTACCCGTTCCTCTGCGTGGCCCACAGCCTGATCTGCCTGGTCTCCTGGCTCCTGGTCTTCAACATCCCCATCGCCAAGATGAATGCGCGCGCCATCGCCAGGGTCCTGCTCCTGCCCCCGGAGCGCGTCCACATCCAGAGCCTCCGGAAGGTCAGGAAACACAAAGGAAGGGGACAAAGTTACACAATATATTGTTCTAAGGCAGGTGCGGGTCACCTTTCGCCCTCCCTCCAGGTGTTTTGGATTGCAACTTCCACAATTCCATGTTTCTTGACTCTAGAAGAAGAAAAAAGAATAATAGAAGGGTCATAAACAGATTAGAAAAAGTGAAGGTTTCCCCTTGACATTAAGTCTCCAACATCTGAAGAGATGCATAATTCTCACCATCTATATACTGCAAACGAATTAATTTAGGGAAAGGGCTTATCAGTGGATTTTGTGCACAGAATCATAGAATCAAAGAGTTGGAAGAGATCTCATGGGCCATCCAGTCCAACCCCCTGCTAAGAAGCAGAAATATTGCATTCAAATCACCCCTGACAGATGGCCATCCAGCCTCTGTTTAAAAGCTTCCAAAGAAGGAGCCTCCACCACACTCCGGGGCAGAGAGTTCCACTGCTGCACGGCTCTCACAGTCAGGAAGCTGGAGCTAACAGCAGGAGTTCACCCCGGTCCCTGAATTAGAACCGTCAACCTTTCGATCTTGGGTTCAGCAGCTCAGTGGTTTAATCCACTGTGCCACCAGTGGGGGGGCCTAGAGGTGGATGAGCTGGGTCTCATAATATTGAGCCATATTGATTGTGAAATAGTAAAGGTAAAGGTTTTCACCTGACATTAAGTCTAGTCATGTCTGACTCTGGGGTGGTGCTCATCTCCATTTCTAAGCCGAAGAGCCGGTGTTGTCCATAGACGCCTCCAAGGTCATGTTGCCAGCATGACTGCATGGAGCACTGCTACCTGCCCACTGGAGTGGTGCCTATTGATCTACTCACATTTGCATGTTTTTGAACTGCTACATGTATAAGTATGTGAGAGGAAGTCCTAGGAGGAGGGAGGAGGCTTCCTTTCTGCTGCCCTGGAGACTAGGATGCAAGGGAACAATGGCTTCAAACTACAAGAGAGGAGATTCCATCTGAACATGAGGAAGAACTTCCTGACTGTGAGAGCCGTTCAGCAGTGGAACTCTCTGCCCCGTAGTGTGGTGGAGGCTCCTTCTTTGGAAGCTTTTAAACAGAGGCTGGATGGCCATTGTCAGGGGTGATTTGAATGCCATTGTTCCGTGTCCTAGTCTCCAAGGAAGCAGAAAACAAGCTTGCTCCCTCCTCCCTGTGACTTCCTCTCACATATTGATACATGGCTATCATATCTCCTCTCAGCCTTCTCTTCTTCAGGCTAAACATGCCCAGCTCCTTAAGCCGCTCCTCATAGGGCTTGTTCTCCAGACCCTTGATCATTTTAGTTGCCCTCCTCTGGACACATTCCAGCTTGTCAATATCTCTCTTGAATTGTGGTGCCCAGAATTGGACACAATATTCCAGGTAAAGTGGTCTAACCAGAGCAGAATAGAGCATGGGGAGCATGACTTCCCTGGATCTAGACACTAGGCTCCTATTGATGCAGGCCATAATCCCGACACCTGCGCATCAAGCGACAGCACTGAGTCCAGGAGGACACCCAAGCTACGGACCTGCGTCCTCAGGGGGAGTGTAACCCCCTCGGGCACAGGATTCAATTTCAATTTGTTTGCCCTCATCCAGACCTGCCATGCACTGGGTTCTGGACCTGGACAACCACCTCAGCATCTGGTGGAAAGAAGTGATTGAGTTAGACATCATCTGCATACTGCCGTTGTGTGGAGTCCCACAGGGTTCAATTCTGTCCCCAATGTTGTTTAACATCTACATGAAGCCGCTGGGAGAGATCATTCGGAGTTTCGGAATGAGATGTTATCTCTATGCAGATGATGTCCAAATCTGTCACTCCTTTCCACCTGTCACCAAGGAGGCTGTCCAGACCTTGAACCGGTGTTTGGCTGCTGTGTCGGACTGGATGAGAGCTAACAAATTGAAATTGAATCCAGACAAGACAGAGGTCCTACTGGTCAGTTGCAAGGCCGAACAGGGCATAGGGTTACAGCCTGTGTTAGACGGGGTTACACTCCCCCTGAAGACGCAGGTTCGCAGCTTGGGAGTGATCCTGGACTCATCGCTGAGCCTGGAACCCCAGGTCTCAGCGGTGGCCGGGAGAGCTTTCGCACAATTAAAACTTGTGCACCAGCTGCGCCCGTACCTTGGGAAGTCTGATCTGGCCACAGTGGTCCACGCTCTTGTTACATCCCGAATAGACTACTGCAATGCACTCTACGTGGGGTTGCCCTTGAAGACTGTTCGGAAACTTCAACTGGTCCAGTGAGCGGCAGCCAGATTGCTCACCGGAGCGACATACAGGGAGCACACCACCCCCCTGCTGTGCCAGCTCCACTGGCTGCCGGTTCAGTTCCGAGCACAATTCAAGGTGCTGGTTTTGACCTACAAAACCCTGTACGGTTCTGGTCCAGTGTATCTGTCCGAACGTATCTCCCTCTACGTCCCACCCCGGAGTCTGAGATCATCTGGGGAGGCCCTGCTCTCGACCCCACCGCTATCACAAGTGAGGTTGGTGGGGACGAGGAGCAGGGCCTTCTCGGTGGTGGCCCCTCACCTGTGGAACTCACTCCCGGGAGAAATTAGGGCATCAGCATCCCTCCTCTCCTTCAGGAGGAAGGTAAAGACATGGTTGTGGGACCAGGCCTTCTGGCAATCTGACAACTAGATAAGGACAATCAAACGACTAGGACTGACAGGACTGACAATGTGGAATTGGAATTTGGACTATGAGATAGCGAACACTGACCGTCTATGAGGAGTAATTGGGTTTGTATTGTTTTATTGGTTTTATTGGTTTTAGGGTTGTAATGCAGGAATTGTTGTTTAACTGTTCAACTGTTTAATTGATGTTATTTTGTTTTACTACTGTTATGTGATGCTGGCATCGAATTGTGCCTTTGTAAGCCGCCCTGAGTCCCCTTCGGGGTGAGAAGGGCGGGGTAGAAGAAACCGAAATAAATAAATAATAATGAACTCCAAAATTCCGGATGATCTCTCGCAAGCTTTGGCGCTGAGCAACTCGTGTTGTTTGTCTTAAGCTGTCCTTGCCTTGCTTTTCATTCCGTGGCCCAGACTTCCGTGCTCCTGGATGCCGAAGTGGTCCTTTGCTGCTACCGCGCTTGCAACGCTTATTATTACAAGTACGCCGTGGACGGGATCAACGTCTTCGCCGTCAGTATCCTTTCTGCCGTGCCAGTCTTTGCTTATTTTACACTTATAGGTACAACTAATTTCAGAAGGGTTGTTGTAGGTTTTTCCGGGCTATATGGCCATGTTCTAGAGGCATTTTCTCCTGACATTTCGCCTGCATCTATGGCAAGCATCCTCAGAGGTAGTGAGGTCTGTTGGAAGTAGGAAAATGGGTTTATATATCTGTGGAATGACCAGGGTGGGACAAAGGACTCTTGTCTGTTGGAGCCAGGTGTGAATGTTTCAACTGACCACCTTGATTAGCATTTGATGGCCTGGCAGTGCCTGGAGCAATCTTTGGTTGAGAGGTGATTCACAGATATATAAACCATTTTCCCTAGTTCCAACAGACCTCACTACCTCTGAGGATGCTTGCCATAGATGCAGGCGAAAACGTCAGGAGAGAATGCCTCTAGACCAGGGTAGGGAACCTTTGGCCCTCCAGCTGTGGTGGACTTCAACTCCCCCAATTCCTTGAGGCTCGGCCTTCCAAGGTAAGCCTTTGGGGCGAATGCCGAGCCTCAAGGAATTGTGGGAGTTGAAGTCCACCACAGCTGGAGGCCAAAGGTTCCCTACCCCTGCTCTAGACCATGGCCATATAGCCCGAAAAAACCTACAACAACCCACTAATCACTCTCAACAAAAGTTTGCTCCAGGCACTGTCAGGCCATTATATGCTAATCAAGGTGGTCAGTTGAAACATTCATCCTAGCTCCAGCAGACAAGAGTCCTTTGTCCCACCCTGGTCATTCCACAGATATATAAACCCTTTTTCCTAGTTCCAACTGACCTCACTCAGAGGTAGTGAGATCTGTTGGAACTAGGAAAAAGGGTTTATATATCTGTGGAATGACCAGAGTGGGACAAAGGACTCTTGTCTGTTGGAGCTAGGTGTGAATGTTTCAACTGACCAGCTTGATTAGCATTTAATGGCTTGGAAGTGCCTGGTGGGAATCTTTTGTTGAGAGTGATTTGATGTGCCTGATTGTTTACTCTCTGTTGTTTTGCTCACTCTCAACAAAAGATTCCTCCCAGGCACTTCCAAGCCATTAAATGCTAATCAAGGTGGTCAGTTGAAACATTCACACCTAGCTCCAGCAGACAAAAGTCCTTTGTCCCACCCTGGTCATTCCACAGATATATAACCCCATTTTCCTACTTCCAACAGACCTCACTACCTCTGAGGATGCTTGCCATAGATGCAGGCGAAACGTCAGGAGAGAATGCCTCTAGAACATGGCCATATAGCCCGGAAAAACCTACAACCCAGTGATTCCGACCATGAAAGCCTTTGACAATACAAAGTTATTATTTATCATTATTCTGTCATAAAAATCACCAATAACAAAACAATAATGAAATTTTGAAAGTTTTGTTAAGAGTTCTGAAATTTTCACCATCCGAATTTTAGCAACACTTTAGAAGCAAGCAGCAGCGCCCTCTAGTTTTGTAAGTACTTTAGAACCATGGATTGCCCATGGCTAGTATGCACAGGTAAATTGCAGGTGAAACTTCACAAGTTAAAATGGACTTGAATGGACTTGAAAGGCATTGTCCATAGACACCTCCAAGGTCATGTTGCCGTTGGCATGACTGCATCGAGCGCCGTTACCTTCCTTAACTATTGATCTACTCACACTTGCATGTTTTCGAACTGCTCGGTTGGCAGAAGCTGGGGCTGACAGTGGAAGCTCACCCGGCTCCCTGGATTCGAACCTGCCACCTTTTGGTCAACAAGCTCAGCAGCTCAGCGCTTTAACCCACTGCACCAGGGGCTAATAATAATAATAATAATAATAATAATAATAATAATAATAATCTCGTTTGCTGTGACATACTGTGTTTTGGTGTCAATAATAATAATAATAATAATAATAATAATAAATATAATAATAAATATAATAATAGTAATGTTGATGATGATGACCATGAAACCCTTACGACACGGTTGCCAGTAATTGCAATTGATGTGAAGGTGCAACCTCCTCCTCCTCATCATCCATTTATTACCTGTCTCTCCTGGAAGGCTTAAGTTGGCCCATACCAGGTCTAAACTATGAAAAATGATGTTAATGCCTGTTTTCCTGAACCATCGGCCGTTAGATCTGCTTCCCTTGGTGATTGTGACCCTGGCCCTGGGTTACGGAGACAAGCACAACTACCACACCAGCTCCGTCACCAAGTTCACCTTGGCCCTGCTCTCCATCATGCCGCTCTCCTACTACATCGGGATGGCCATTGCCAGGTAAGGTCTGGGCATAATCGGATGGGTGGAGTATCCCTCACCCAATTTTTATTTTCAAGCTGTGAAGTATTGAATCTGTGGGTGCAGAATCTATGGATGTAGAATAGACTACTCATTAATATTTTAGGGATGGGGCTCAAGTATAAACACAAAATAGCTTTGTATTTCATTTCATGGAATCCTAGAGTTGGAAGACATGCAAAATGTGAGTAGATCAATAGGTACCGCTCCGGCGGGAAGGTAACGGCGCCCCATGCAGTCATGCCGGCCACATGACCTTGGAGGTGTCTACGGACAGCGCTGGCTACCTATCTGCCCGCATCTCTGCCTATGAACCCACCAGGACTTCTTCCGGGGAGGCCCTGCTCTCGATCCCGCCTGCTTCTCAAGCTCGGCTGGCGGGGACGAGAGATAGGGCCTTCTCGGTGGTGGCTCCTCGGCTGTGGAACGCCCTTCTACGGACATTAGACTAGCACCATCTCTAATGGTATTCCGCAAAAAGGTGAAGACCTGGATGTTTGTGCAGGCGTTTGAGTAATTTAGTGCAATCTGGTAATGGAACATAGGAATGGAACAATGGACGACGAACCTGGACTACGCTTGGATGATGATAAGATTGGGTACGGTTGTTTTTTGTAATAATTGTGCATTGTAATTGCTTATTGGTAATTTATGGATAATGTGTTAAGTCAATTGTTATATGTTGTATGGAACCACTGCTGTTTCTACTGTTTTTACTGTTTGTGAACCGCCGTGAGTCGCCTTCGGGCTTGAGATACAGCGGTATATAAGCAAAGTAAATAAATAAAATAAATGTATTTTCCTGTCTCTGGACAACGCTGGCTCTTTGGCTTAGAAATGGAGATGAGCACCAACGCCCAGAGTCAGACATGACTGGACTTAATGTCAGGGGACAATCTTTTAGAGTTGGAAGAGACCCCCAAAGGCCATCTAGTCCAAGCCCCTTCAGCGAGGCAGGAAAAGCACAATCAAAGCCCTCCCATCAAATGGCCATCCAGTCTCAAAGAATAGGAGGAGAACCTCAAGGGCCATCCAATCCAACCCCCTTCTCCCATTATGCAGGAAGACACCATCAAAAGCCTTCCCAACAGATGGTCATCCAGCCTCTGTTTAAAAGCTTCCACCAGACTCCGAGGCAGAGAGTTCCACTTTTGAACAGCTCTCCTTATGGTCAGTTCTCCCTAATGTTCAACTGGAACCTCCTTTCCAATCATTTGAGCCCATTATTTACCCATCTTGGATTTAATAATAATAATAATAATAATAATAATAATAATAATAATAATAATCTTTATTTATACCCGCCACCATCTCCCCAATGAGGACTCAGAGCGACTTACATGGGGCCAAGCCCAAACAACATATTACAAAGTAAAACCGAAAAACACAAACTGAAAACACAAACAATAAACAACAACAACATAATTACATAAAACATATGAATACATAGCAATATAAAATTACAATAGGCACAATCACAATGACAGTGGGCAGACTACATCTAATGATTAAAAGAGAGACTGATTAAAACTAATTAAAACTTAGGCGAGATAAAAGACAGATTATTTGCGGAGGAGGACTCATTATAGTGGGGGTTGTGGAATCAGGCTTTCCCACGAAGGAGGGGGGACATATACTCCAATGACAAAACGTTGAGGCTAAACAATAGTGTGAGGTTATATACCTACTCACCAAAGGCGCAGCGGAAGAGCCGGGTTTTAAGGTTCTTTTTAAAGGTTTCTAGGGTAGGGGCTTTCCTAATTTCTCCAGGTATCTTTGTCCTCAATACCATATAGGAGTCCAGAAATACTAGCTAAACAGTTTATTTAGAAAAACAAAGATAAAAAGGCCAAAAAGTAATACAAAATGCGACGTCCAAACAACAATAGGAAAAAGGCCTTCAAAATGCCATAGTCCATTTAGCAAAGTTCTATTAAAAATGACAAAGTGCAGGAAAAAATCAAAAATAGGCATAAATCCATAAACAGGAATATAGCAACTTAATTTAAAACATGAATCCATGGACATGAGTATCAGATCTTCCCAAAGATCTTAGATATAGATGTGAACGTGGAACAAGGCCCAAGATCTACACAGTAACGCAGTGTTGCCTGATCTGACTCTTTAAGAAGACAATCATTTACTTTAAAGCTCACAAAACCATGAAGTCATGTCTTTGACACCTGCTCTGTTACTTCAAGGATTTCTCATGAATTTTCTGTGACCTCCATACTTTGGCTTCCTCATCCCAAATCTCAAACTCCTACTATTTGCAGGTGTGTTCTCAACGGAAATTTCTGTCTCTTCCAACTCGTTATCTTTCGTTGCTAAGGAATTACTAGGGCAAAGGTTCTCGTTGTCTGATGCCGCAGCATTTCCCTGCCTGTTTTGCTCTGCATCAGTTTCACTCTCACTAGACACAGGCTCATTCCCCCAAAAAGGCTGAACGACAACACCAATATATATTTGTGTGGTATAGATATACCACACAAATGCAGTTTGGCACTACTTTAATGGTGATGGCTCAATGCTACGACATCCTGGGAGCTCTAGCTGCTTTGAGTCTCCTGCAGGAATCAATCATAGAATCAATCATAGAATCAAAGAGTTGGAAGAGACCTCATGGGCCATCCAGTCCAACCCCTTCTGCCAAGAAGCAGGAATATTGCATTCAAATCACCCCTGACAGATGGCCATCCAGCCTCTGTTTAAAAGCTTCCAAAGAAGGAGCCTCCACCACGCTCCAGGGCAGAGAGTTCCACTGCTGAACGGCTCTCACAGTCAGGAAGTTCTTCCTCATGTTCAGATGGAATCTCCTCTCTTGTAGTTTGAAACCATTGTTCTGCGTCCTAGTCTCCAGGGAAGCAGAAAACAAGCTTGCTCCCTCCTCCCTTTGGCTTCCTCTCACATATTTATACATGGCTATCATATCTCCTCTCAGCCTTCTCTTCTTCAAGCTGAACATGCCCAGCTTCTTAAGCCGCTCCTCATAGGGCTTGTTCTCCAGACCCTTGATCATTTTAGTCGCCCTCCTCTGGACACATTCCAGCTTGTCAATATCTCTCTTGAATTGTGGTGCCCAGAATTGGACACAATATTCCAGGTGTGGTCTAACCAAAGCGGAATAGAGCATGGGGAGCATGACTTCCCTAGATCTAGACACTATACCAAAAAAGGGAAATGCGAAAGACTGCTCAAACTTCCGTACAGTGGCCCTTATTTCTCATGCCAGTAAGGTAATGCTCAAGATCCTGCAAGGAAGACTCCAGCAATACATGGAGCGAGAGTTGCCAGATGTTCAAGCTGGGTTTAGAAAAGGCAGAGGAACGAGAGACCAGATTGCCAATATCCGCTTGATAATGGAGAAAGGCAGGGAGTTTCAGAAAAACATCTACTTCTGCTTCATTGACTATTCTAAAGCCTTTGACTGTGTGGATCATAATAAATTGTGGCAAGTTCTTAGTGGGATGGGCATCCCAAGCCCCCTTCCCTCTCTCCTGAGGAATCTGTACAAGGACCAAGTAGCAACAGTCAGAACTGACCACGGAACAACAGACTGGTTCAAGATTGGGAAAGGCGTACGGCAAGGCTGCATCCTCTCACCCAACCTTTTTAACTTGTATGCAGAACACATCATGCGATGTGCGGGGCTGGATGAATGCACAGCTGGGGTGAAAATTGCTGGAAGAAACATTAACAACCTCAGATATGCAGATGACACCACCCTGATGGCCGAAAGCGAGGAGGAGCTGAGGAGCCTTCTAATCAAGGTGAAAGAAGAAAGCGCAAAAGCCGGGTTGCAGCTAAACGTCAAAAAAACCAAGATTATGGCAACAAGAATGATTGACAACTGGAAAATAGAGGGAGAAACCGTGGAGGCCGTGACAGACTTTGTATTTCTAGGTGCAAAGATTACTGCAGATGCAGACTGTAGCCAGGAAATCAGAAGACGCTTACTTCTTGGGAGGAGAGCAATGTCCAATCTCGATAAAATAGTGAAGAGTAGAGACATCACACTGGCAACAAAGATCCGCATAGTCAAAGCAATGGTATTCCGCGTAGTCACCTACGGATGTGAGAGCTGGACCATAGGGAAGGCTGAGCGAAGGAAGATCGATGCTTTTGAGCTGTGGTGTTGGAGGAAAGTTCTGAGAGTGCCTTGGACTGCGAGAAGATCCAACCAGTCCATCCTCCAGGAAATCAAGCCCGACTGCTCACTGGAGGGAAAGATACTAGAGACAAAGTTGAAGTACTTTGGCCACATCATGAGGAGACAGGAAAGCCTAGAGAAGACAATTATGCTGGGAAAGTGGAAGGCAAAAGGAAGAGGGGCCGACCAAGGGCAAGATGGATGGATGGCATCCTTGAAGTGACTGGACTGACCTTGAAGGAGCTGGGGGTGGTGACGGCTGACAGGGAGCTCTGTCGTGGGCTGGTCCATGAGGTCACGAAGAGTCGGAGACGACTGAACGAATGAACAACAACAAAGTAAATCAGACACTATGCTCCTGTTGATGCAGGCCAAAATCCCCTTGGCTTTTTTTGCCGCCACATCACATTGTTGGCTCATGTTTAACTTGTTGTCCACGAGGACTCCAAGATCTTTTTCACACGTACTGCTCTCGAGCCAGGCATTGTCCCCCATTCTGTATCTTTGCATTTCGTTTTTTTTCTGCCTAAGTGGAGTATCTTGCATTTGTCCCTGTTGAACTTCATTTTGTTAGTTTTGGCCCATCTCTCTAATCTGTCAAGATCGTTTTGAATCTGCTCCTGTCCTCTGGAGTATTGGCTATCCCTCCCAATTTGATGTCGTCTTATAAATAAATATAATAATAAATACAATAATAGTTTTAGCCTTCTCTGCCATAGAGTGCTGGTGTCTTACTGAGCTACAACTCCCAGGGAGCTGCAGCAGATAAAGCGATGTTAAATGGCATTAATTGTCCACTGTAGAGGGTGAAACTTGGGAGCACAAAGGCTTTGGCTACCTTCCCACCCAGCAATGTTTCCTTCTAAATCCCAGGACTCCATAGCATTGAGACATGGCAGCATTAACTCTGCAGTGTGGATGCACCCCTTGCCTGATTTAAGTTCTCTTCTTCCGCCTCTCTGATAGAAAACTCTCTGCCTCTTCTTCCCTTTGTTCCTATTTCCCTCGCAGCATCTCCGCCCAGAGCAACTTTGCGGTGGGCGCGGTGGTGAACGCCACCTTCGGCTCCATCACGGAGCTGACCTTCTACATCACGGCGCTCATCAAAGGCTCCCGGGAGAAGAACAAGTGCTACGGGGAGATCGTCAAGTCCGCCTTGACCGGCACCCTCCTGGGCTGCGTCCTCTTCATCCCCGTGAGTCCCCTCCATCCCTCCCAAGGTCCCCCAGCTCAAGCTTTGAGATACAACCACCCCTTTTGCATGTTCAGGCCAGCTCTGAGCATCGGGAAGTTCTTCCTAATATTTAGGTGGGACCTCATCCTCCTCTCCTTCCTCGCAGGGGCTGTGCATGGTCATCGGAGGCATCCGGCACCAAGAGCAGAGGTTCAACAGCCGGTCCGCTGGAGTCAGCTCTGCCCTGCTCTTCCTCTCCGTTGGAGGTATGCTTTTGGGAATATTATTGATTTGTTTACAGTATTTATATTTGTTGCACTCCAGACCAGGAAAGCCCTCTGACTTTAAGTACCACACAGCTGAGTAGAAATGCAATCCGTTTATTGAAGATACTAGCTGTACCCGCCACGCGTTGCTGTGGCCAATCTTCCCTCCTTCTTTCCTTCCTTCCCTTCCTTCCTCTTCCCTCTTTTTCTTTCCCTTCTTCTTTCTTCCTTCTCTCTTTCTTTTCTCGCTTCCTTTGCTCTTTGGTTCCATCCTTCCTTGTCTCTTTCCTTCCTTCCTTCCCTCTCTCTTTCTCTCTTTCATTCCTTCTTTCCTTCCTTCCCTCTTTCACTTTTTTATTTCATTCTCTCCCTCCTTCTCTCCTTCCTTCCTTCTCTACCCTCTTTCCTTCTTTCTCTCCTTCCCTCCTTCTTTCCCTTCTTCTTTCCCTCTTTCTCTCCCTCCTTCTCTCCTTCCTTCTATACCTTTCTTTCATTTCTTCTCTCCTTCTTTCCCTCTTTCTCTCCCTCCTTCTCTCCTTCCTTCTATACCTTTCTTTCATTTCTTCTCTCCTTCTTTCCCTCTTTCTCTCCCTCCTTCTCTCCTTCCTTCCTTCTCTACCCTTCTTTCCTTCTTTCTCTCCTTCCCTCCTTCTTTCCCTTCTTCTTCCCTCTTTCTCTCCCTCCTTTTCTCCTTCCTTCCTTCTCTACTTTTCTTTCTTTCCTTCTCTCCCTCTTTCTCTCCCTCCTTCTCTCCTTCCTTCTATACCTTTCTTTCATTTCTTCTCTCCTTCTTTCCCTCTTTCTCTCCCTCCTTCTCTCCTTCCTTCCTTCTCTACCCTTCTTTCCTTCTTTCTCTCCTTCCCTCCTTCTTTCCCTTCTTCTTTCCCTCTTTCTCTCCCTCCTTCTCTCCTTCCTTCTATACCTTTCTTTCATTTCTTCTCTCCTTCTTTCCCTCTTTCTCTCCCTCCTTCTCTCCTTCCTTCTATACCTTTCTTTCATTTCTTCTCTCCTTCTTTCCCTCTTTCTCTCCCTCCTTCTCTCCTTCCTTCCTTCTCTACCCTTCTTTCCTTCTTTCTCTCCTTCCCTCCTTCTTTCCCTTCTTCTTTCCCTCTTTCTCTCCCTCCTTCTCTCCTTCCTTCTATACCTTTCTTTCATTTCTTCTCTCCTTCTTTCCCTCTTTCTCTCCCTCCTTCTCTCCTTCCTTCTATACCTTTCTTTCATTTCTTCTCTCCTTCTTTCCCTCTTTCTCTCCCTCCTTCTCTCCTTCCTTCCTTCTCTACCCTTCTTTCCTTCTTTCTCTCCTTCCCTCCTTCTTTCCCTTCTTCTTTCCCTCTTTCTCTCCCTCCTTCTCTCCTTCCTTCTATACCTTTCTTTCATTTCTTCTCTCCTTCTTTCCCTCTTTCTCTCCCTCCTTCTCT